CTCTACGAACCTCGCCTTCTAACCTTAATTTCTAAGAGATTATTCTAGAAACTATCCAGCAAATAAGACTGTTGAAGTGCAATGGCGATGAGTGAATAGCCTGGGCCGATATTAGCCTAACGGGATCTGTACCGGCATTTGTTTTAACACTATATCTACCATGGTCTAAATCATCGTTTACCAAACTTTCATTAAAAATTCCACGTTCAACGTTATCATCTTAATCTCTCATCTTTGCGTTATTCCATTTTTTAAAACTTCTACTTCTTTTCCATTCACCGGTTATTTGACCATGTTAGGTTTAGCGTTGATCTTCCCTATTTTTAGCAGAGTTAAGAACGCGACAGTTCAGTTCCTTGCCAAGCCTCGCCGACACGTCGCTTTATACAAAAATATATATATATATATTTTTAGTTCAAGCCAAGCGAATTTAGTTTGTTTGTTTCTAAATTGCCATTTCCTTGCTCGTTATTTCCTACAGAGACATCGAGTAAATTATCCAAATTCGTGCGCGATAAATTCCGCGATAATTTTCTACCTATAGCAATTTACGCGATAATTTATCCGATGACCGCGTGGAAATTCATTTTCGCGAGAAACTGCTCGTCAAATTGCATCCGCGAACGGGTTTTTCCCACGAAATACCACGAATTACTGCCGTGGCCAAAACGCGATTTAACGTTGGCAGGAATTCTCTGTCAGACTTAAGAGAGACTAAGAGTGGCGCCAAGTCTCGATGAAACTCGTTTACCGAACGTTTATGGCTGTTCACCCGCACGCGGCGTGACAAATATCCGCGAGCTGAAACGGCGGCCTAAATCTTTTCGGGAATCGAACATCTCGCCACTGCGTGAACCGGGCCGAGATGGAAACGGAACAGCTCCAAGGAGAACGAGTTTCTCCGACTCTAAAACTCTCGAGAATCCAACTCCCTCGTACGTTCGTACCTTTTTATTCCCATCTTTCTTTATTTTTACGCGAATTTACCGGCGAGAACAACGGATAAGAAATGACCGCGTGAAAGCGTATAATTGGCCGATAAACGATATTTCCGATATTTATCGATTGTTGTTACGCGTTCGGATTATACCAATTACTGTTAATTCAATTATTAGCGCCGCTCGTATTCCTAAATATCGCGTGACAGGGCGGGGAGGGGACGATTAAATGAAATGCGGTCCGTTTACTCGGATTATAACTTTAATAGCACCTATTAAAATATTTTATTGATCGCGCGACCCATCGTTTTATTATTTCTGTCAGCGGATAATAAACCTTCGCGCAGCTTATGGCAAATTGCTTTAACGGCCGTGTCCGCAATTTCGATTATCCCCGGGGAAAATCCGCGAAATCGCAACTGCGGATCGATGCTCCTTCGACGCGGACGAAACAGCTGTACCGGGGAAAATAAGCCAAAGGTGTAATCGTATGCGCGTCGATTACATTTTACACTCGACTACATTCCCGTACTTTAATTATCTTTCAACCTACGCGCGCTGTACGCGTATATACGCTTCTCGCGAATGCGAAATGCCTCCGTGTACCAGCTCCCAGTTTCGCGCGGGAAATTTGCAAAAATTTCCATAATTAGAATTCCGAGCATCCGAAAGATAACATGCTAATGTTAAAAACACGAATGTTGCGAAATCGAGCACGGGATCCGCGAAATATCATTGATCGCTGTTTTAATTAAAATGGCAGCCAACAAACGTCGGGACTCTGTTATTTGCTTAACCGATGCCGTGTATCGATTCGAAGCTTGACAATTCTGACAAAACGTACGAGTCCAGATGAAAGGTAAGCAGACCTCGGGTAGGAAGCCTTTTTTCCAGCTCGCGAAAGTGTAAAGTAGCTGATAATATTGCTGCTCGTTTAACGGACAAAGTAACGCGGCATTAAGAATTAAAAGCAATACGATTATTCCATGTCTGGCCAAAGCACAAAAGACATCGTGCGTTGCTGCGCGGATTTTCATTTCAATGGCAGGATTATGCAATTACGCTACTACGTGAATAAATAGAGACCTATTCTCTTACGGATCATTCTTGCGCGCTCATTGTGAAAAAGAGATCCATTAAGCCGAGGCTATCACCAATTTTCGATGCTATGAAATATCAATTAACCGGCCATTTTCATTGAACGATCGAGCTAAGAGGAGGCCACCATTTTGAATCGGGATTATTACTTTCCGACTCCGATTGTCCGTGACATCGCCTCCAAAGGAACAAATTTTCGGCCATTATTTACAAAGAAGATACTTCCATTCTGCTCGAAATAAGTTTGTTCTGCTCCACCTGGCCAATCTTCGATGCTAGAAAGGAGCTTTCTCGAGATGTTCGCAGTCCGTGCTTTGATCGATACGTTCTTTAAAGAAGGAATTGGATTTGTAGCTTCATTCTACTCGGGTGAAAGGATGCTCCAACTCGAGGATGCCGCTAGGTGTTGGGTTAGGTTCGGTCTGTTCGATATCGGTACTACTTTGCAGATTATTTTGGGAATGATGGAAGACTTCGAGAATCTTGCAGATGAAAGAATTTATTATTTACTCGGATCACCTCCAGCCTCTATAAAGATCACTACGAACATCAAATTCGCACCTTTGCGCCGGACAGACAGAAAGTCTTCCTTGAGAAACAATTTTGAAGAAATTTTTATGTCTAGAATCACATGATACTCGTAGTAAGAAAGAAAGTTAAAGAATAATTCAACGAGATACGTACAAAGTTCATTGTACAACCATTGGAGATATCGTCCGTGGTGGCGCTAGTGAGTTATAGGAAAAGTCCTCTTAAGATCGTCATATGTACCAAAAACTTATGGACCGTGATATTCAAATACCTTATTTTGAAATTAACTCTATTTTCGGCTAATTATATATTCAACGTTGTATCCATCGCCAAGAGGAAAAATCTATAGCAATGTCCAACAGCAACTGTGTCATCCCGGACGATTTGAGGCAGAATGTTTCTAAAGTTTGAGAAAAAGGGCCTCGAAAATAAAAATGGCGGGGGGAGCGAAGGGCGAAAAAGGGTGGGAAAAACCAGGGACTCGCTTTGAGCGCGATGGTCTGGTTTTTCCGCTTACGTGGGCGTACTTAATTTGCCCTTTTTACTATCCGAGCCGTCTTGTCCGTGGTAAAAGCCGCCACGGGAATCGGGAGTGAACTTTTCAATCTCGCGGCGGATTCTTGGCTTCCAATCTGCTCCCAATATCACCGGGTATTCGTCGAGCTTTTGAGTTCCGCCGAGTGAATTCCAAAGCCCCCTCTCGCCCCTTGATTTCGATGCGTCGAGTTTATCGAGCGGATAGAGAATCTCGTCCCTGCACGTCCCATATGCGACCCTCTGTCTCCCTCTTTCATCCTCCTCCATCCTCTTTCCCCGTTCTACGTGTCTACGTTACACACGCGGATAGTGCACACGCGTTGTAGCCTGGTCTTATCGCCCAGCATTGACACGAGAAAATTTCACGTCGAAACGTTTCATCCTATGGTGGTTGTAAATGCATTTATAACTGACCTAACTCCGGTAGAGCGGCCTAGAAAAGGGTAACTCTGTGACGGACCGTTTTTGATCGCCAAATCCGAGGACCGTTTTTCACCAGTTTTTCGGAACGTTCGCTCCCAACGGATTTATAGCAATGGCGCGCGACTGGGGCTCCGGTAGCTTCCCTTTTGAAGCTTTTACGCGGTTTTAATACGAGAAATGTGGTGATTTTTCCGTGTTGTTGGGGTTGACAGCAGTTTGGTACGAATTAATCCTTCGTGGACGAGGGGCAAAGATTACAGTGCCCAGAGTGTATGACAGATCACGATTCTATGTAACAGAGAATATACGAGTGGTAGGAAAATTTACTCTTTATCTTATACACCTTTTTACTCCATCCGAAAACTGAAGACATCCGGGAGTTATATTCCGTCACGTTCTCGGGAATCTTGGATAGCCATGTGCTTTCCACTCACGCCCTGATCTCATACGCTCAGTCCCTGTAGACACTCCTAGACCTCTGACACTCCAAACACCACTCGTGATACACGTTCACGCTAGATTGTCTTTCATCGTGAATGCGTTTCGAGAAGGGGCAGAACCATGACGCAAACTATTCTGAATAATTTTAAAACTGCGTCGTTACTCGCGCAGGTTGTAAATGGGAAATATCTCCGTTCGAAAACGCGTCACGCTTCAATTCGAAAATGGTATCGCGCAAAAATCTAAATTGGAGAAATTTATTGACACCGAGATAAATGTCGACGAGATCAGTCGGTTAGGAGGCTGATTGCGCGAGCAACGTAAGATTGGAAACTGTGCTGACTAACGAGATTAAGAACTGAATCACGCGATCCCGATCTAACCTAATTTTTGATAACGACCAGCCGTAAGAAGCTCCCACGACGTGCACGAAGGACGACGCGAAGGGAATGCTGTAACTCTTATTGGCGTAGAGACACGTGGTTCTAATTAACTTCGTGTCGTCTCCGGGGATTTAATCCCGTGGAGAATCGTTTCACCGACCGTGCTGCAGAAAATGCTGCGACTCTGCATCTTTCGCAATGTCGTGGAACCGCCCGTGGCAAAATTGAAGCTGCTCGAAGCGAGTTATCCCTTTGAAATAAGGATCCAAAAATTTCACCGATTTTTCCGCCTTCATTCCAAACGCCTAATCGTGCCTGACCTTTTAGCATAGTTTCTGGTTCCTTGATCGATCGAGAGATTTACCGTGCTATTTCCAATCACGCTTGGCTCACGAAGTCCTTATTATTTGAAGCACTGCGTGCAAAATTTATTTCCATAACATAGGACTTATTTTTTGACTTACTTTTTAAAATTTTGCATCAAATATCTCGCTCCAACTTGGACCAACTCCTGGATCACTCATCGTCCGATTCGATTTCGAATTAACGAAAGATTTATCGAAATAACGATTTCCAGAATAAAAGAACGGGATCGGTGTTTGCAGACCTGTTGATAGAATAACGTAAGGAAATAAATGGTATCACTCACTTATATTCTTTTCCCTGTACTGTTGCAATGCGTCGCTTGTTAGGCAGGCGAGGACCAACCACAGGACGAAGCCACACCTTCTCATTTCGACCTGCAAGGAAACACGTAAATTAATTATAACGTGTTTGAGAACATTCCTCAACCGCGACAAGTACACGCGATTGTCTGGCAGTTCCCGCGACGAAATACACGCACGCGGAATTTCCTCAACCGCGATTATTTGTCTTTCGCGTGTTTCAGTTATTAACTCTCCGCGGTCAATCTTCCCTCGCCAAACTAGCTTCCCTGATACAATTAATTTGCGAATAACGATGCGCGAAATAATTCATGCGTAGCGTATCTTTTAAACCATCTTTCTAAACGCATTTATCTCTATGGAACGAAACGAAAGGAATACAGGACGATAAATCGCGAATTGAATTACTCGATGTTGCGCAAAAATCTTACTCGCCTAAAAGCTTCGATTTCCACTCGAGCGAGTATCGAATTTACGGGAAAGCCAGAGAGACAAGCCAGCAATACGCCAAGTGACGCACCGTGGTTTTTCCCATCTCGCGCGATGAATCGCGATCAATCCACGAGTCCATTTCGTCGTGGCGTTGATCGTGGATCACTTTCGACAAGAGGACAATGCCGAAGGACTCGCGACCGCCATTATTCGCGTGCCGACAATGTCGTGGAATCGGTCGGTGGGGACCATCAAACAAAAGCGACCAACAATTTGCGCCCCGTGACTCTGGCCGATCGGATCGCCGCGAACAGATGTTAGTATTAACAGGCCGTATACGAAATGGACGGCGATCATCGACGGCGCTGCTGTATAGTAATCGATCGCTTTCACGTCATTGACAACTGTCGAGCGTTCGATGGAGACCCCGTGGCGCGCCGGGCTGTCACGAATCAAAAGCGAGCCGGCTCGATGAGATCTTGTCTGCCAATTATCGGCATCGATTGGCCGCTCATTAATGCACAGCCTGCTCCGCAGCAGCCTGTCCACCGGGGTCTCCTTGGTAGGTTAATAGCCAACGCTAGGCGTAAAGAGGTAGACCACAGCCTTAGACGTACCCCCGAGCGATCGGCAAGTTCGATCGTTTAAACTAATTAATGAACTTCTCCTTCGACCATCGCGTTTGCGATCTCGTAAACCGAATACCTAGGCCGTAGGAGTTAGACCCTTGTCAAAGGGATAGGCAGAAGCGTTTAACCGGCTGGGATTCCGGGTTCAGGTCTCCGAGGGGTTGCGCGCTTCGAGGTGTCTGCCACTGCTTGGCAAATATGCAGAATTTTTACACGAGTTAGGAGTAGCAGAAGTTCTGCTATTTTCCAGTGTCAGCGTTGGAATACCCAGAATACGCGAATAAACGATAGCTGAGGTTTATTTATGTCCCGTTAGAGTGGTCTGGTTAGCGTCAATGATGAGGATTCGCAAAATTTACTCCCTCGTGTTTTCCGATAAATTTTTATTGCAATCGCGACGCGTCCTCTTTGATTCGCACAAAATAGAAGTGTCTCCAAATAGAAAGCGAATGTCGAGAAATATATGCATCGATTTTCTAGAGCCCCTTACTATTTACACTGTGACACCGTTCTCAATCGTTACGCTAAAAATCGACGTAACTCGATGGCAAACAAACCCACGTGGCGCATTACTGAAAGAAATCTGCATAAACGCGTTCCTCGGCTGATTACGCAACACCGATAACAATTTGCCATGCTAGTGCGTGCTCGAGCATCGTTCGCGAAATTTCCGCCAGCTGAATGGCAGCGTTTCGCGAAATCGCAGAGGCGCGGCAACGTCAACCAAAACCTCGTTAATTTCGCGGATAAAGGGCCGTCGTCACGCGGATGGAACTTTCTGCTTTGCGCCGGATCATATTCATGGAAACTGGCGCAAAAGGTCTCGAATGCCGTATACGCGGCGACGAACGAAACGCTTCCACTAACCCCGTCGTGCTTCGAAATCCTCAAAGAAACATTTCATAATATCTCGCCCCATTCCACCCACAACCACGAATACACCATAGCACTTTCCTCTTCGCTGCAAGCGCGGTACGCTCGAATCGTCCAGCCACCGAATTCTTCGTCCGTGATCATCCGTGGCGTTTACGCGAGCGATTCTCCTTTGAGAATCACCGAGTACATCGAGCAAACTTTCGTCTTTGTCCGCGCGCTGTTCGATCCGGCTACTTATATAAATATTTGTGGTCAGTCGAATCGCCGATTTGCGTAAACAGACGTCGATCCGCGATACATGCCCTTTCTCTTCGTACACGTTTCATCCGGCCGTGTTTGACGGTCAGGATTTGTTCGGATTTGGCATTGGCAGCGATCGCTATGGTTTGAATCGGATATCAGGCGTAGGATCTGGCGAAACTGCTCGGGTAGCTTTCCTCATAGACGTCCCTCTGTATTTTTAGATCGGATTATTAATTAAAGCGAGTGAGTCGTGGTTTTCATCGACAACTGTTCATTCACAGTAGTAAGGAACACGAGAGAATTTTCAGCGAACCCGAAACAAAATCACCCCACGCACCGCCTGAACTGGTCCCGAGTATCTTACCCGATATCTCGGGAAGAAGTATTCGAAAAACGACGAGAGAAAGCCATAAAGTACCGTCGATATACGGAGGCGGACAGTGTCACGCTCGCGTATCCGTCACGGCTGGCTCGCGCTTATTTCTCCCGCTAGCCGGGTTTTGATCGCGTCCGAAGAATAGACGACTCCGTCGGCCAAGCCTATATTTCTCGCCGGGGCTTATCCCTTTCCTTCCCCGGGATATTCCCGGCAAATCCTGCAACGAGTGGCGCGAAAGTTTCTATTTCTCCCAAAGGGAAAACATGGTCCGTTCGTGGAAGCTCTTGGGCCACCGACTCGGCTCCGGAGGATCTAGCGCGCGCGAACTCACGTACGCCATCTGGACCGAGCGTCACTGTGTCTCCGACGAGGCTGCACACTCGACGCGGAACAGCACCTTCGAGGATCCTTCGTACGTTTCATCGATCACGGACGAGGCTGGCCAGGCGTGAGCTCGGTCTACTTGCACGTATCTCGTTTCACGGTTAGCCGGATCTAAAATATTCCCTAGCCCTTTTCATCGGGGACTGGCTCGGCGTCCTCTATGGCAGACCTTGATCCGACGCGCGAATAAAGCGTGGGATACCCGCGCCGTGAAGGCAAACAGGATGCATTTCGATTTCGGGGCCGATCGATACGCAGATAGAAGCCACCTCCCGCCTCTCGGCTCGACTAACGTTGCATTATGAACCTTTTCCCGGACGAAAGGGCGCTTTAATAGGAGGGCTGAAAGGATCCCAGCAATAGGGAAAATTGATTCCGCATGGCGAGTCCGGCGAGCCATATCTTCCGGTGTATTAAGTTCGATATAAGGTTTGGAAAAGAGAACGATTGGCTAGCGTGTATTCCGAGTACAATAATGAAAGTAATAACGCCAACGATGATGGTGATACTATTACGATTAAGATTGATACGAAGATACAAAAAGTATTGCATACAGGAACTCTTTAGAACGAGAAAAATCGTTTCACGCTTAGGGTACATTTAATCAAAAGCTAGAGTATCTTTCTAATAACTGTACCAGCAATAAGATTAATAATAAATCCAACTCCGATGTCCCGCGAGTTAAATGTATAATATCACGAATAATTGCGTTACGTTCCCGCGAATCAAGAATGGCAAGTTTAAATTGCCCGAAAATTCCATTACCGGATACTCGAACTGCAACTATGTAATTCCCTGTGTTCATATTCCTATCTAGATATTCCAGGCAATGCTATGTGCTAACTTAACCTACAATCCGGGGAATTCGCCCAAGCCTTCCAAGTATTCCGCAATCACCATATTCTCGCATGCTAAATAATCCTCGAAGAACGTCCGTCCGCGAAAATCCAATAAACACTCGTTCCCTAGAACTGGAACCCGGAACTGCCGAATTGCAAAAGTTCGATGAGTCCAGAGGTCTTCCGTTCTCCAAAGAAACGACTTTCCCGGGCCCACTGGCGTCCCTAGTTGCGCGCTGCTTCCCCTATTAGTCCAGAAATCTTGGGATTATCGAAGCAGACGATGATTTTTGCACGGAAGGGATGTACGCTCGTTTCTCAAGCGTTTCCTAGGTCAGAGGAGGAAGATGACCAAGGGAAGACACGAAGGCCCGAAAAACACGGGAAGCATCGCGCCTCCGGACTCGTGCCGAACCTCGAGGAAAAATGGGCAGGAACCCTGACGAGAATAGAAGGATTTGCGAGAGAATTTCCGACGGTGTTCCGACCACATCCGGCCGAGTGATAATTAGGGCTGTTCGTCACGGATCCCGGCGAGGCAAGAAGGACCGAAGCAAGATTCCCGCAAGAAAAGCCGCTGATCGAACAAACTTCCTCGCTAAGTAGCTCTCTAGAGATTAAACCGGCGGCTCTATTCACCGGCCAGAAATTCACTTCCGTCTCGGCTAAACTTTCTCGACTCTGTTAATGATATTTGTATAAAGCGATCGCTGTTGATCTCGGGACCATTCGAGTGCCCTGATATCGGGCTGGCGAATCTTAGACGCGTGAACGTGGTTTGGTCGCGAATTTTGATGATTGTTTCCCTCGAGGTGAGCGTGAAATTTAACCCTTTCGTGACTAACGCCGATTATAGGCTTAAAATTAGCGTATTACAAATACACTGCTTATCGTAATTAGTTACAATCCTGTCCCAAGGCAGGATTTTTAATTTTTATTCAGCATAATTAGTATAAAAGCGCAGAAAAGCTCAGAAAATGTAAAATCTCACGACTAACATATTAACACCAAGTTTCGTCTTCGCGAAAGGGTTAACGAAGTTAATGAAAATTATAAAGGGAGAAGTGCTCTCCAAATTTGCTTAGTTTATTTCTTATTTTTTCTCCCCATTTCATTGGCAAACGAAGAACACGTAACTTACCAGTGCCTTTCTCCCCGCAAAGAAATATCGCTTAATTTACTATGGGATTTTAAGAAATACAAGTTTGCAGGGGAACGAAATTTCTAATTTACCAGCGGGGACGATAAATGGATTAAATTTTAGAGTTACAGGGACAAAGCGAGACT